CTTTTTTTTAATTGTTTTTAATGACAAAATAAAATATATTTGCTAAACTAACCCTCACTGCCATATATTTCTATAAAAAAGTATAATTCAAGAATAACAATAATTTTTATTGCATTATTCACATTTTTCATGACAGGGAAAGGAAATTTCATTAGTGGTAGGAGCAAAACGATTTTTTAAGGGAAGGAATGTAACACGATGTGATATGCAAAATAGTAATGTAACGTAAAGATGTTAGAAATGTGAAAGCATTTGGAAGAGCGAGATTGGAAAATTAATATTATTAATTAAGCAAGAAAAATTATTAATGATGTGAAAGTTGATTAAATGAAGAAGCTTTACGGATAATTTTTGAAGATCCCATATTAGAATGTAATTAAGTGACCGCCGTACTTAGCTAAAAAAATTCTTTTTCCTTTAGAAATTTAATTCATATTCCCTGACCAGAAATTCCAGGGCTTTTTTTTTTTATTATTGGATAGGCGTCAGCTAATCGTCACTGTCGGCTTAGTGTCCTGTTGACTAAATGTCTTGACAGTTAACTGTCCCATAGCTAAATTTCCTGACGGCGAATTCTGTGTGTCGGCTAAATGTCCTGTCGGCTAAGTGTCCTTGTCGGCTAACTTTCCGTGTCGGCTAAGTGTCCTTGTAGGCTAAATGTCTTGTCGGCTAACTGTCCGTGTCGGCTAAATGTCCTTGTCGGCTAAATGTCCTATCGGCTAAGTGTCCGTGTCGGTTAAACGTCCTGTCGGCTACCTGGTGTCGGTTAAGTGTCCCGTCGTCTAAGTGTCACGGACTCATTTCAAATATATGCAATTTGTATATCTGGGCAACAACGGGTGTACAATTGGAGAAAATTCATAGTGACGCCTTTTAGGTTTATATTTTTACCTGCAAAATGAAATTTCATTCAATTCTCCTGCAAAACCTATAAGAATGTGATTTTTAACTATCTTCATCCTGCAAGTACAGTTAAATGTATTTCGGATTTGTGGTTATTTCTTTTCATTAAACTAGCTATATAGTATCTTCTATTAAACTTGTTATGTAGTAGTTGTCAGTGTGGAAGGTAACCACAGAATACTGCACTTAAAGTGACTGCAACAAATTTCAAAAGTATTGAATGAGTAAATTATCCAGATTAATATAACTAATATTACACATTTGATATAGCTGTTAACTTTAAAAAAGGTAACTTTGTAACCTTGAAAATCAATTATCTTCCCAAACATTTCTGACCAGTATTACTTAGCGCTATAATGTGCAACAGCTGTACATAAGGCTACTTTAAAATGTGAGCTGGTGCCGTTAGCTGTACAGTATTTCGTTTCGACAATGTTAAAAATAAATTCTGAAATGCGGATACACAGGTTATTTAAAAAATATTGCCTCCTATTTTTTCAAATCTTCTTTTGTAAATAGTTTTATGGATAAAATAGCATGGAAATTCAATGTAAAATTACACCATATTAAGAATATCAAAATCCCGCTTATATCTTCTCTTAAAATATTTATGTCTTTAAATCAAAATATAAGTTAATCAGAGTATCTTTGACCAGATATGTCTAAGCCGCGGCCCAAAGTATCATTGCGACGCAAGAAGCGAGCGCAAAGCTCAAAAGAAATATAAAGACCTCACCTCAATGACACATTTGCTGTTAGGGTTCGAGGCTGGCTTTCAACATGACGGACGGGTTATTTAAAGTTCCGATTTGGAGCGAAATAAAATGCATTTTGAGTGGAGTAGTAACTCCAGATCTTCTTTTGACTTGTGCGTGAAGTGATTTCCTTCATTTTGTCCCAGAGACAAATATGCCTCGCTATACAATCATACATTATTCATGTCATCATTACTTGGCAGCACGTATATTTGGAAACAACTATTTTAAGAATGAAGCACACTAAAATTAAAATTTAAAAAAAAATATCGGATGAGCAGATTGAGAACAATCCTGAGAATTTTAATCATTTCAATCGAACCAGACACTGATGCATTATTTTCTCATTGAAGGCCAAATATCGCATTACTGTTATCTTCCTAATTATAAATAAAATTTATAATGAAATTTTATGCATATAATTTGAAATACAATGTCAAAATAATTCTATGTTGCTGTCATTATGTTAGAATAAATCATAATTTAATAAAGCTAAATAAAATTACTTAAAAATGTGCGTAATTTTTTTGTAGGGGGGGGAATTCAGCCATTTTAGTGTTAGGAAATGGCGGTTAGAATTTGAATCAAGTGAGTCACTTATTCCCTAAAATCTTCCTATATATGCGCTTTCTAATTTCTATTTCTTTGAGTGGTCAAACCTAAGCAAACCAAAATCTTTTACTGAAACCTATATACAATTGTGTGATTCACTTATTTTGGAGGTCACGAGCTGCCACTGGTATTAGAAATAATATCTCGTCTTCTTCCAGAGTGGCTCAGGGAAGCTAAAAGGTTGGGTACCTCTGTTTTAGATCATATGATGCAAAATATTTTAAGAAAATCAGTTCTCATCTATAAGTCATTAGATCCTTACACGGGCATTTCCCGTCTGGGCATTATATGCAAATTGAATACTCCACACTACCAGAAGAAAGCACCAAATGGGAAGTAAAGAAGAATCTGAAGAAAGAAGGTCCACAATCAGTTAGTAATAGTAAGAAAAGGAATTTTTTTTTAACTTGCCACCGGCTAAAGGAAAGGAGCCACGAGATGCTAGCGACCCGCATGAGAACAGCTAGCCACTACTGATATACAGCATTATATAGCAGAACTGCATAATACAAGGGGCATGAAATGCTAATTATTACTTGAATTAATAATGAAGTTTCTTAAGCTTTTATTTTTGAGATGACATTTATAGATATTTTAATAATGAATCAAGTACAGCATAAAAGAAATTATCTATGACACTTGAAATGTATTTTTATCCTTAACATACTCTTTTCTGATTCTGCAGATCAGTTTTTTACAAAAAATTACTTCATGAGTTGGTGCTCTACAAACAGTAGTATTTATACATTCATACGTGTTACGATCTCAGTTAAATATATATTTCGTTCACGTGCAAAACTTATTTCTTCATTTGAATTCAATTCACATTATCATTAGAATTTTGTACAGTCAATCACCTAATAGTTTTACAATTTCCTTGGAATTAAAAATCAAGTTTTCAGGTATGAAGGTGTTCCTTTTTAACTATGAAACTAATGAAATGTGTGTAATAGTATTTTGATCACTTCCATGTATGCATTACCCGCGATATATACTTCTCAAATACCTGAAATTCTATTACTCATCTCGCTGTCGTTAGCATGTACTTATATGTATATTGTATTTAAATAGGTTACTTTGTTATGCTGATAAGTAATAAATATACTGTAAGACTTTGAAAGATAAATCTAAAATCTTATGCTGTGTTGATTAGCAAAGCTGTCTCATTTAAAACTCTCCCAAAAAATCATAGCATGGCATATCATTTCTTTATTTTGATATGTGAAATTAGATGCTTATCATATAAAAAGGAATGATAATATTTTTGGAAATTCATGAATATGTCTCTTTAAATAATGAAAATTTTTTAAAGTCTTACTGGAGGTGGAAAACAGATTACGTTTTACTGCCAAAAAGAGCACTTAAATGAAAGACAAAGTTCTATAAAATAAACAATAAAACACAAAAATAAACAAAGTTCTGTAACATTTTATTACTACAAATGAGCAGCAAAAAATGCTGCATTATATAAACACAGATGGCACATTTAACATCGTAAAAACAATGTACAAGAAAATTTCAACATTTAAAAGTGATATTTTTATGAAATGGAAAGTATGGTTAAAAATTTAAGATCTGCAGTTTGAATCACATCATTGTATTTCATGAGTAAGGCTAAAATATGAGATGACTTAGAAGTTTCAGGAACAAAAAAAAAATTTGTCTCAGAAATCATATTAAAAGCCATTCTACCATAATGCTGGTTGAGAAAGAAAATTAATTGTTAAAAGTAATACTGAATGAAATTGCCATCAGAACATGTATAAGATAATCCTTTCAAAAATAAATTATTATGTTACATAAGAATATAGAAAAACTGGTACCAGTTCTTTATATTAAAATCTGTAATACCTATGCAAAATATAACTGAAATTTTTTAACATTTGGAGGATTCAATCTTATAAATACTACTAAAAGAATTTTATTGTATGAAAGAGAATGCCAAAATATGTCTATAGTAATCTACTATGTAAATTTTTAAAGTTCACATAAATTACTATGGAAACAGACAGTAATATATATTACCTAAATTGATTTTGATTAAGCAGCATCAAACTACCATATTAATATTTATTGACTTTCAGCAATGGTATTTAAAAACATAAATTAGCATTTCCATTCATCCAATGAACATAAATGTTCACAAAATACAAGTTATGAGCACTACAGAAATTCATTTTTTCCCATAGGAATGTTTTAAAGACATTTTTTTCAGAAAAATGTTTGATTAATCATGCATAAATGTGAAACAAGCAGATATGTGTAAAATCATGGCACCCATATAATGTCTTCATTTTCAACAAAAGCTGTACAATTAGCTGAGTTTTTCTAAGGAGGACAGTGACAATGATATAAAGCAGAAGTGATGCCAACTGACTAGCTTTCAAACATGAGGTATCAAAACTGCTGAGAACAAACATTAGGAAACAACACAAAAAGAAAACATCATACCAATGTTATTGTTTAAATTTGGTAACTAATGCTGCACTGGTAATGAGATTTCTACACATTAAATCAGAAATTGTAAGTAAATTTGTTCATATAATGTGTTGTTCAGTTACAAATCCAACAGTTAACATAGTGAAAATATAAATTCTTTCATGATTACTTTAGAATAAAAAAAATGCAAATTACACTTCATGAAAATCAAAACACATTATGAATTCAAATGTTAAAATTTCAAAGTTCAAATAAGCCACTTACAATTTCTAAATAAAGCTTGACTTTAAATATAAATAACTTATTTTAAATGTAATTGTTAAAAATTAAAATTAAAATCAAATGATGTTAATTTTAGAAAATGTTGATATTAAAAGTGAACAACACAGATGAACAAAAAATACTATTAAGGCATATTAACTTTTAAAAATTCGTATATTTGTATAATTATTAATTCAAAATTTGTTAATGAAGGCACTTAGAACTATATAATTATTGCATAAGTCTGAAATACAGTAAATCGTGGTATAAATATTCAATCTGTAAATGTTATCAAAATATTCATGTTTCTTTTGAAGCTTCAACAATTCATTAATAAACTTATTTTAACTTTAATAAAAGCCATTTTTCTTGGTCAATAGTAAATGATGAATAAGAAGTCATTAGAAAAAACACACTAGATGTAAGAAATCAAATGTTCTGTACAAAATGACTACTGAATGAAATCCGTATTTACACATAATCTTCATCAGTCTGTGAATGTCCTGGACCAGATGAATTTACATTATCTGGAAGTTGTTCAATGTCTTTGAAAACGCCTACTAAATTTTCGAAATTTGGTCCCCAATTTAATAAACAGTCCCAACCTAACATAGAACCATTAGTCGGCTTGTATGGTGGTGGATTCGATGATTCATCGTCTGAAGCCACTAATGTGCTAAAAGATCCCCTAAAAGAATCAAATCCGTCATAGTTTTTGGCATAATCTTCATCATTCTCGTTATCTTCTTCAGCAAGTTTTGAGAAGATCATATTACGAGGACCAAACTCTCGGTGTACTTTATCATAATTATCGTACTCGAATTCGGAACAAGTAAAAGAGTCATTACCACTTTCATCTGTAGATGAATCTTGAGCTTCTAAAAGTTCAGTGTTTGATTCTAAAAGTTCTGCCAACTTATGCTTTTCGGCATTATCATCACTTGATGACGAAACAGCATCTAATGTACTAACAAGGCTTAAATTCCTTGGTCTTGCATTTAACCTTTCTATCTCTTCTGTAGTAAGGCCCAGAGTTATACTATTATCCCTCGCTTTCAGTTTGCTGACGTTCTGAGGGCCAGACTGCATACTACTTGTACTATGACTAAGGTTACTAACAGGACTGTTTAAGCTACGATCTGAGTTCGTCATAGGATTCTGAAATTGCTTGGAACCTACTCCTTGTGCTGTAGCAAGCAAGGCTTTCTGCAATGGTTTTCCGCTGATATCTTGCAAAGTTAATATTCTCGGCGTTTGCTGAGAAAGCTCACTTGATGGACTTAGCCGCGCCAGTGGTGTGTTTTGCATTTTGATAGATGACGGACTTTCTCTCTGTGTCAAAGGATTGTGTGGCTGATGCAGTATATTTCGAGGACTCTCTCGAACTGGGTTTGATTGAAATTGGTGAGGACTATGCCTATGATTATGTTTATGATAACTAGGAACTTGAGGATTGGGCTTATATTTGTGAATGTTACCATCACGGAAGCCTTTGTAATGATACACAATATCAATATCTGACGGAGCTATGCTGCTAGCATTTTCTAAGTCATAATGTTCTGGTGGCTCTAAATCAGCAGGGTTTTGCATAACAAAATTATTCTGAGCTTTGTCTTGACTATGTGGAGGTGGATCCTCCATTCGTAGTGCAGGAGATGGTTTATTATGAATTTCTCTTTCTATGATATCCGGTCTTTGCGGACAATCAGTGTGAGGATCACGATCTTTTAGCTTCTTAGGCACAAGATCTTGTGGCATATGATTTCTTATCACATCATCACCACCAGAAGTTTCTGTATAACCACCACACTGATGTACTCTATGAGGATCGCCAGTAGCACTTGTAAGAAAAGCATTCCCATTTTGTTTGACCTGCCCAGAACTTTTGTCTCTCTTTAACTTACGTCTCCTAAAGACTAGGAAACTGATAAGGATAACGATGAGCAAAATAATGAAGAAAACAATAACAAGAATAACACCAATGCTAAGAGGATCCGTTGTTGCATTATCAATTCCAATGGCTTCACTTTGGCACAATGAATGTGAATTACCGTGGAGATAAAGCTGAAAGTAACCAGTTGAATTCTGCAATTGAATTTCATTATTGACAGCAACCATCTTTATACAACCAGAAATATCTGGAAGAAAAAAAAATTGTTAGTAACTTAAAAACTAAATTGCTAAAACATTTTTAATTGAAACACACTCAGTACAGTGATTTACTGCTCCCCACTTCTTTCTGAAGGAGCTGTTTCTTTTATTCTGATTATTTATCTATTTGTTTGTAATTTATGAGCCTAAAATTGCTCTTATTCTTTAACAATGCACAGAAAAATTTTATAATAATATCAATATAATCTAACATTTTCGACTCAGTTTAATTTGTAGCTTTTGTAAATCACATATATAACTAAAATTTAAAACTAGTATATATTTTAATTTTATATATAAGCTTAAAAATTGAGGCTTAACAAATTAGAGAGAAATTACTATACCATTATATTGTCCATCACCACTCAAGTGTTCCCACTGTCCTCCGATGGCTATGGAAGATAAATAAGGATCCAGAAAATCATGGAGTATCTGTTTGGAGTTAACAACTTGCCATGCATTATCTATGCTTATATTCACTTGTGGATACTTTCCTGGATGGTATGCAAGGCTTAACTTATGCCAATGACCATCGTTCAAACGAGGCAATTCTAATTCTTCAATCACTTCTTCTAATGACTTGATTTTTGAAGTGTACACCAATTTGCCTTTGATCAGCTACAAAAGTACAAATTATCATATCAGTCACAGAAAATATTATGTGCTACTTAATAATTATGCAAATTTTGACACATGGAGAAATGAAATTAGAAGTCAGTGAAAATTAAGTATACTTTCAAGAAAAACTGAATATTTTGAAGTTAATTTTAACATATAAGTGTTTTAATCGCTAAACAAATGAAGCAGTAAAATTTAATAGTTAATCATAAAATTCTCATCTTATTCCAAAAATTATGAAAACTTGAATTTACATTCATAGTTATCATACCTATGCATTATTTTCAATTGCATTTTATGGAAGTGATCAAATTTTTAAATTACTATTTAGTACGCTAGTAATTGCAAAGTTCAGTTAGCAAGAAAATCAACCACATATGATATCCGAGAGAAAATTTCTCCTGAAAAATTGTAATCTCTTTAAAAATATCATGCATAGGAAAAGAAACATGAAACAAAATACTTCCTTTTCTGCGATAGTTAGACATGTATTTTTGTGATAGTCACGACTCAAAGAAAGTTTAACTTCATAGATTATTTTCCTATGGGAAAAATTTCATACACTGAAACATAGAAAATTCACTGAGTAGGATTAAACTCGTGAGAAAAAAAAATGTCCCCTTATAATTACACATAACATTATAGTATATCATGGACTAGATAACTTATCAAAGAGGGATTTTATAACATTTTGATGTATATTAGTCGAAGAAATTAGCCATTAAAAGACAAATAAAAATATACAAACAATTAAACATCAGTTTCCCTTATAAAAACGAAAAGCATAGAAAAGTATTTGGTAAAACAAAGATTATATGTAACTGCTAAAAGTATGTAAATGCAAGTTTGATTATGTGCTAATTTTTTCAAAGGAATATTTTAATAGCAATGAAGAAATAAATCAAGTGTAGTTATCTATTGCTGTTTTACATCAGAGGACAATGTAATAAGCGGTAAAATTTACTTGTAATAATGTGCGTTCATCGTCTGTTCCAGAATGCATGATGACACCATTCTGAGAAAATGATCTAAATAAGAATGACAATGTTTTCGGTGCAGAATCCTTCATCCTGTCAGCCAGCAACAATGTTCTTCGATGTTTCTCTTGTGGTATCAACTCAATAAAAGCTCCATTTCCGATGCTGTAAGGTTTCTTAGCTGTAGAGAAGGTAAAAAAAAATATTTCAGAATATCTTTTGCTCACTATTGCACTTTGTATGGAGGTTGATAAAAAGATATAAAACCATAAAAGATAGTATAAGAATGTATGCAGGAATTTTACAGTCTAAGAAGTATTTAAATAAAAATAGCAATAGTATTTGGTTTCGTTCCTGGAAATTCGAACGTAATAAGCGGCGGAGTTTATTAAGCGGTGGGTACTGTAAATATTAACAATATTCGAAATAAATTTTGTACAAGTACATATAAAAGTATCTTTAATAAGTATATTTAATAATGCTTAAGCTTACACAATGTGGTTTTTAAATAATTAAACTGATTCGGGAAAATTTTGCATAAATGAAATTTTAATTAACAATTATCAAACGATGATTTATTTATATGTTGGGCAATATTAAATATGAAGTTTGATAAAATCATTTAATATCTCAACATATTTTTTTATTTTTAAAGTTTACATTGTTGAGCACAGAATATCATAATATTATTACACTTATTTTATATGAGTTAACATCGAAAGAATACGTCTTAGATTTTAACAAAAAAAGAATCCTTTCTTGAAGCGCAAATATGAGATAGGAGGCAAAGGCTTGCGAACTGCTATTTACTATCCTAAAACATGACAGTCATGTTCCTTTGGATTAAGTTACAGTGTGTATGCTAGCCAATGAAGTCAAACTATATCTTTACTTTCAAGTTATTAACCTACCAGAAAGGATTGATGAATTCAAGAATTATCATCCATTAGGATAAATTCGGGGACTACAGACTTCTAAAAAACTTATTTGAAAATGTTAGACCTCATTCTAGTTAAAGAAACTCTTGTAAAAACAGGGTCAACCAGAAAAACATGTAAGAATAACTAAACAAAACTCTTTATAGTGTGTAGTACCGAACTTAACTGTAAGTTAATATAATTATACCTATCATAGATTAAGTTAGGTTAGGTTTAATACAATCTTCCTGAACTTTTCTACATATACAGTACCAGTGCGCTCATAGTGTCCAGTTGGTGGCCGTTAGCAGTCGTGTGCTATGCAGTGCCATTTAAGGTCCCCCAAGGCCATTTTGATTCTCTCTCATATGCTCCATATTACGGTCATGAGAGTACCAAATGTGTTAAGCAAACATTACATCGCACATTGTAAAGATAATTCAATTCAACATCGATACCAGTACGCAGATATCATCTGTTAAAGTCTGTATACATTTTTTTGACCTACCCTGTGTGTAGATTGGTGTCCTCATTTATCATGATTCCTCCTCAAACCAGATAACTACCGTCGTGAAAAGTGAATCTTTAATAAACACTATATTGAAAGTTGCATTTTTCAGATTTTCTACAGATATGAGTACGTTAACAATTATTATTTAAACTAAGCCTCCATTCATCACTGGAAAGAACCTGAACTCTGATTTGACAGCGGCGAGGATCTGACCGCGGTAGACCAACGCATATCTGTCTTTTGATATAGCGACACGGCGTCGACTTAATGCATTCACCTTTGGTTAATATATGTTTATCAAAAGAAACATTGTACGCATATTTAAAATAGCCTAGGGAAAAATTAATTTTAAATAAAAAGTAAACAGTATTATGCAATTAAAATGCTTTCAGTAACATTAAACTTATTGCACTAATAAATTAATTAAGATCTAAACTAATAATTATCGTTAATCAAATCTTATCTTGAAATCTACACAGTGTGAGGAGTTCTCTCCCAGAATGAAATCTCAACACGATAAAAATATTCTTAAATTCAAACACAGTATAATAACATTTTAAATATTGCTACCAAGTAGTGCATCAAATTTGATATAAATATGACTTGACTTAAAAAAAAATACACCCTTACCTTCTGTACACGATGCCGCTAACATCTTAAAATCGCAAAGACATGATGTAGAAAACCAATTATCGATACAAGTTGCACCGTCACCGCAGGTAGATGCAGAACATGGACCTTCCTTTCTACTACATGTTGAGCTTACAAAAGCTGATTTTAGAGGAGAGCTCATATCAATTTGCCGTCCATTTACAGATAATCCTCGTAAGCAACCAACAAAGTCATTTGATGACACCTGACCAGGACGCTCTAGAAGAGGATCAACTGTGGCAACTCCTCCAACAAACAGCAAATTGCCGTTGAAGTTCAAAGTTCTAAATATAAATAAATACAAACATCATGAATAATTAATAATCGCTGAGCAGTAATTTAAGACATTATTTTATGCTATATAATATCATTAAAAGCATTATTAATTGCGTAACAATTAGCACATTTACAGCATTGCATACTAAATATCAAATATTAACTCACCCAGTATGACCCGTGGCAGATTTTGAGCATGTCGAATTCCCTAGTAAACATTCTTCACATGTATCACCATTGTCATTACAATTCACTACAGAAACTGAAGCAACCTGGATGGAAACAAAATGAAGCCAATAATTAGTATTTAAACGAATATACATTGAGGAAATTTGTTAATATGATGAAGTATAGCAATTTTTACTTCGATTATAAATCATTTATGAAATTCAACCCGAATTGCGAATTGTAATGATTGTTATAATTCGCAATCAGAGTCGAACTTCAGAAAATGATTTTTCCATTAATACAAAAGAGGCTCTATTATCATATTAAGAAATCAGTTTTATATTTATATATAATAAAATCCAATACACAAACAAAATCATTTTTCAACTAATTAACCTAATGAATCTTTATTTAGTTCGTCATACTTTGCTAAGATATTCACAAGTGATAGAACAATTATTTTTTGATGAAATTGCGCATCCCATTTTAATTCTTCTTAAGTCAAATAAATTGATTTTTAATTTACAGTTAACTTATCAAGTCGATGTTTAAAAGCAGTTCCCTATCATTATGACCTTCAAAAATATTTTGACCCAAATCAGATTTCCAGTTGGTGCGTAGGTAATTAATTACAGCAAAATTCTCAAGGGCTACTTGCTCTGGAAGAACTGGTCTTATGATGCCAGTGTATCTAAGAATTGGTGTCTAGATATGTAACTGATTACACCAAAGCATCTGGATCAAGAAGAAACTATGCGCTACACCATTGTTTTTCAGTTTGTACTCCTCGAAGCTTGGCCTTATGGTCCTCCCAGATTATTAAAAAAAATTACGATTCAAATTAACTACATTGTAGGCCCACCAGCGGCCGAGCGGTAAAGACGCTGAACACTGGTAGTTCGGTCTGAGGTTCGAATCCCGCGAACGGGCTGGCTGCATGGGCGTTTTCGTGGTTTTCCCCATGTGTAACGTGTATACGAGCCAGTTTCCCTTAGAAAGTCCTCCACGAAAGGCATCCCTCCCCTTAGGCAGATAGCCCTCGTGTGCTTTGCCATAACTGAATAATCCAAAATCCAACTACATTGTAACTAAAAATCTCAGATTCTAGAAATTACACGTGACAACTGTCTATCATTTTCCTTCCAAATCTCTGTGTGCAAGGTAATTCTTCGATTGTTATTAATGCGCATGAGAAATTAACGCGGTTTGAGAGAAAACGATGTTTCTGAGCTAGTTGTGTAAAACAGAGAAATTTTTCACTATTTCCAATCTTAAAATCTTTTGAATATAAAATGATATCCTTTTTGGAAAAGAATTGTGCAATGATATATACATTCACATCTCGAAACTCAGAGGTCACAATTTGTAACTTATTTTCGAAATGGTAAATATTGCGAATTTTCAAGTGTTCGTGATAGTGAAAATAACAAATTATGTCACTGAATGAAAGAGAACAAACAGTTAACTGAATTACCGAATAACACCGGACTTAAAATGAAATTCTAAGCAGAAAGTATGGCTAATTTCCGTACCTCATTACCAATGAAAACGGAATATAGTGAACTGTATAATGGTGGTTCAAAAATTATAATGCAGTTTGGAGCGAAAAAGGGTTTTTATCACCAACTCAGATAAGGACAAAGTACCAATATCGACTTGATGATGTATGTGCCAATCTCCGACTTAGCCTTAACCAGCGTACATCCACGCACGGGACAGCTGTGCAAGAATCGTCAGGCTCATCTATCTCAATTATGTAAGCACCAACATTTATTTAATATTTTAGTCAATAAGATAAAAATTACCTAAACTTGTACTGAATTGTTAAAAGCGAATATAAATTCTCTAATATTAACTTTATTACTTAATATAAAATTAAATGAATTTTAATTACCTGTATCTTAAAAATATAAGAAAACTGGTAGTAACGTATTCTAAAATTTGCTTTTGAGTTGGTCCGCAGGACATTCTGATTTATAAATGTAGTCCCCACTTAAAAAATGCTTGAGAACTTATGAACTTTACTATAACTACGCTTGTACACACAACGGAACAGACCATGAAAACACTCGTTCCATCATGTATCATACCCAAGAGGAAATTATCAGTCATTTCTCTCATTTAACTATTACAGGGCCAAATATAGCGTAAAAATAGATTATTTACCTTCCTTCAACTGTTAAATCTGAAATTTTAGGAACTATAACTATTAATTCTAACAAGATTAAACTACTACATGAAAATTCATGTAGTGCATATTTTTTAAGGAAAATTGACATCCAATTTCATATACTTCATCACCATGTTTATGTTTCGTATCGCATAATAATAGAATTGAAAGCAAAATTTGTAAGATCATTTACATTTGCTAACGAGTTTTATTTTCCTCATTAAACTTCCTTTCCTCTTCTCAGTTTCTAAGCTGTGTCAGAACTCAACTCAAAAACTAATAGATTTAGTGTGGTTGATTGATAACAGTATTAACTGATTTCTATAGGATTAATATTCACCATTGAATAATTGACAATTGTATTTGAGACATACCTTTTAGTGTAAAAGCAGTGTTAAAATGTTAAGTATTTAAAAATTATTATAAGCAAAACCACAATTTCCTTGGATTTGACTACATAATTTTGTAAAGTTTCCACGATCTCTTTAACATATCCATTAAGTCATTGTTCACACTATTCTGAATACTATCTTATTTAATATTCATGTTTAATATTTTCAGTGCACGACCATTGCAATACGCAAAATAATTATCAGACATCCCTTCCCTCTCATGACAGGACCACTGCATCATTTATGGGACTATTTTATGTCAAATGGATAAAGCAGCTTTCAAATGCACAAACATTTCATTTACCTTTCCGTTACGGATAATCGTAACCTTATGCCACTTTCCATCTGAGACAACAATATTGGCCGATATCCTGGTAATAGCCGTCCTGGAGCCTCCAAATGATAACGTAGGCGTCGAGTTGATTATTTCTAGAGCTAAAAAATCAGATCGACCTCCGCTTTGAGCTCCGAAATTGTAGACCAGAAGAGCATTGGGATTATTGGTAGAGAAGATAACAGAAATATCATTCGTAGTTGGCTGAAGTGGATTGAATGCCATGTAGGAATACGGTAGAAATCCGTATGATGATTTCTCGCAATGTCTACCGAAGTAACTTGATGTACAAACACAGTGGTAACCTGAAACGTAATTCATTTACAATTAATTTACATACATTATTAATTTATTATTATTTTCTAACACATAAGTTAATATTACATACACTATTAATTTATTATTATATATCATATTTCTAACATATCTTAACAAAAGTTCACGCTCTTAACTAATGGCACATACGAAAAAGGAAGTATTATGTGATAAGTTTTCGAATAATTGGCAGTTTTCCTGACAAAAATTAATTTTCCAGTTATGCACAAATCTGGATAAATGCTTTCACAATTCATAATGTGCAAATTTTTTTATTTAATTTAAAATAAATAACATCCGTATGCTTGAAAACAATATAAACTCCTATTCATATTTTGTTAAGCATGTAATAAAAATGTAATATTTTAAAATTTCATTAGAGTGAATATCAAATTCGTAAAAATATATATTATTATTAATGTGTTTAATTAATTACAGATCAATAATCAACTTTTATTTCTATTAATAAACTTCGATTTTTTGTTTTTGTTTTATTAACTTCTCATATTACAGATTATTGATTGGTCCTCAAGACCTAGAAGTCAAGCTAAGTCCTTTTTTTACTTTTACCAGCTTATTATTACTCGCATTTCTCAGAGATACATGATCCGTTGCTTCTTCAATAACGTAAAAATTTCCATAAGCTTTTGTTAAAGTGCACTTAAAAAAAAAATTATGAACTGAAGTTACAGTATTATGCACATTTTCTGATAATAATATTTTTCCCCCTATGTTTGATCGTACATGATAATTTTGCAGTAATAAATTATGAAATATAATTTCTTGACCGTCAAAAGTAGTAATTTATCAGATACCAGTGCAAAGAAGTTAATATGTAAGGTATTTTCTCCGTCCCTTACCTTCATGGTATAAATGAAAGCCCGTCCGACTAGCAATCGAGAGGTTCGGAATTTGAGTTCTTGCGAGGGCACTGTGTATTTTTTGTGTTTTCTGTTTCAAAAAACCTAATGACTCTACAATGGCGCCCGAACCAAAATGCGGTGAACTACAACGTCACCATCACCACCATTATTTGACGCTCCTCCCCACTCACTCTCTAAGTGGGAAAGAATGAAAGATATTGTCTCCTCTCTTACTACGTGCCTTCGGGGTATAAATGGAAGCATGTCCAACTAGCAGTCAGAAGGTCCAGCGTTCCAATTCCGGCGAGGGCTTTGCATATTTTTCATGTTTCTTTCTTCGAGAAACCTAAATTACTCTGCAAAATCAAAGTCTTCCACACTCATTAACTACTTAACATCTAGCATGAAAAATCTTTATACACTTTTTAAACCTAGAGCTTGCAGTTATAGAATTCATAAACATGTATTACCTCTAATTACCTTATAATTTGTTTGCAATAAATAACGTGTAAGAAACATTTCACAGATTAATTTAAACACACACGTACACAGGTTTATTATTTAAAAAAATGAAATAAATTAAAAATTATTAATCGTCATTTGATAATTTTATGGAAAGTAAAACATAGTTATGTGCGTGTTGTTTCTGCAATAATAGAAATTTAGAGTTGTGGGAACAAAAAGAGAATAGATATATAGAAAATAGAAAATTATAGAGTTATGGGAAAGAAAAAAGGATAATTTTTGCTTGCCTGAAAATGACTTAAGTATAATTCTCTATAACATTACTGAAGCAGGCAATATACAGCTGAACTGGCGCAGGAGGTAGGCTGGCTCATTACGCTAAATATGAGCGTATATTTGCCATATTCATAGCATTATACTTGGCGATAAAAGAAAGTGAGGTAGCAGACTGCTTGTGAGGTAGCAGACTGCTTCTTAAATTGATGACAGCAGACCTGAGAAGTAGAAGATTCTTGCGAAATTAAATCTCAATAAAAGGATAGAGCCCCATCAGCGGCCCAGCGGTTAAGACCGCTGAATACTGGTAGTTCGGCCTGTCTCGGTTTCGATCCCAGACGAACGGGATGGCTACATGGTTGGTTTTCGTGGTTCCCCCCATGTGTAATGTGAATACGGGACAATTCCCTTCCACGAAGGCATTCTTCCTCTTAGACAGACAGCTTTGCCGTATTTAAAGAAACTAACTGACCCTCTAATAAAGGAAGTAAAAAAAAAAGTTTTAATGAAAGTTTCGATTGAATTAGTATAGCATAAAAGACTTTTCTTTCACTTTTATCGTTATGTAAGTTACGTGTGTATGATAACTAATAATTGTGTGGCAACGCACTTCAAAAAGATTAATTTTTACACATTTTAGAAGAGATTAACCAGTTTAAAACAATTTTCAAATAATAATTTTCTCTTACATATTCATATACAAACTACTCTACTACTACTGTCATTTAATAACTTTTTTAAAGTCGGCATTGTTTGGGGGGCGTGGACATAAATTTTCCTAATACAAAATATGCCCTCTAGCAGTACATTAACGTTATATATAGCAGATTTTTAAAAATGCAGTTAATTTCCATTGCACTCTTTCTCAGTATACAATTGTATAAAATAGTTTTACGTATTTCTGAATAGAAAGGAATAAAATAGCTAAAATATTTTTTTATATAACTGAGGAATATTTAAGCAGTCCATCGTTCAACCTGATAAATCAAACATGTTGCCAATATTTATAGGCTTCATTTTTTTATTTATTTAGTAGATTAATTTAATTACCTTTTTTAAATTAAAACATAACTATCATTTTTATGACAAAGATGTCTCATTTAAGAACTTAGGAAGAGCTTTAAATATAAGGTAATATTTTTCGTAATAATGACCGAATTGCTTCCTTGAATTATAAAGTAAGTCATAACCAAAGTTGTCTGCATAGAAAATATGTGCCATCAAACAGGAAGAACGTAAACATTAGACTAAATTAGCTACAATATTTATACAACAACCGGTAAATTTATTGTTAAGCAACAGGATCATACGTACCTAGATTCTCGCTAACGCATGTACCTCCATTCAGACATCGATTGGGTCGACAAGCATCCGCAGTCTGTTCACAAACCAGACCTTTAAAACCAGGACGACACAGGCAGAAAAAGCCACCATTTGGTGCTTCTTGACAAGTACCGCCGTTTCTACAAGGGGCACTAGAACAAGATTCCTTACGTGGAGTATCACATTTTTCTCCTTGATATTGTGGGGTGCATGTGCAGCGAAAAGTAATCCCATCTTGATGGCAAGTGCCGCCAGATAAGCAAGGATTTGGCAAACAAGGATCTTGTTGATACTGGCATACAGAACCAGAAAATCCTCGAGGACATTGGCACGAAAACTGGCGAGCAACATATGGCGAGGTAAAAATTAGAGTAGAAGAATCAACGATGGATAGGATATCTTTCATTTCCAAAAAGCTGCTGCAAGACCCTTTATTTTGGCATGGCGATATTTCACACGGATTGAAACCAATAACTATTTCCTTATCTTGAATGGATTCTCGTATGAGAGGCAGTTTATCACTCAACAATGTAAGAATATCTTGAGATGGCACATAAAAGTTTTCTGGCCTTTTTGAAGCTAGAGTTATTTCCAAGTGCTCTTCAATATTGACTATACTGTATATTACTGGCTGACTTGTTGGCTGCAAAAGAAAAAAATGTTTGTTCAGTTAAACTATGTAGGAGGACAAATAAAATGTAAATAAAGAGGTGGACATTCTTGTAATTCTCACAAAATTTTTGAACAATTTTTAAGACTACCCAATATCCATCAAGAGAAATGGTTTCTCTAATTAACAAGGTTTTCCTTCAACCGTTTTCGAAATTAATTCAATAACTTAATGTGAAAAGAGAAATCCGCTGACCCACCAAAATATTAAAATCATTAACTACGTACAGATCTTCCTCTCGCAGCGAAAAGATCATCCACCCAGCGAAGTATACAGTCGACGAGTTCTTACTAGGGCTGATCAAGCTGGAAAAAAAAACATTTTATGCTCGTTGCATACGAGTTCGCCTGTTTAGATGATGATGTAACAAAAAATAGGACTCATTTGGTCATGTGACTCACTTCCAGTTGTCAGTGATTATGTATACTTTATTGTATGCACTGCAAACGGAGAACAAAAGGCTGTGGCTCAAAGGGACGCAAAGAGGACAACGACTGCGAACACCTACATCTAAAAGTGTACAGTTGTCTTGACACATCTGACGCATGACAATGATTAACAGCATCCGCAATATCAGCCACAGTGCTACAGGCAACACAAAACAATATACACTGACATCTGGCATCAGTGAGGAACAGTAAGAAAATGTCTTCTCGACAACTCGCTCGAAATGTCCCACATTTCAGATCTGTGACAACTGTTAGTTATGCAAACATAAACAGCCTAATAGCGTCCTTTTCAAGAACAGTTTTTCTAAGGCATTTTTCCATACAGATGTAGCCTTAGTTGAAATAAAATCAATCCTTTGATGTTCTTGGTTAAACCGAAACGAAATCCTGATTAAATTAGCACTTCTCCAGATTTTACATATGCATATCATTCGTGAACTTGGAGCACGTCGTTTTTTGGCTACAGATCTGCTTTGGAAAGTGGCTTTATTTCTGTTGGCTGGTTAATATACAATATAATAACATATTACTCTGTCATCGACAAATGAATCTGTATAGAAAGAGAATTTTAAAAAGAAAGACAATGCAGATGCAAGAAGTGCTCTTTGATTTAAACTTTAGTAATTCATAAAATTCAGACTTTTTTTTAATCAAACATTAATTTTAATTCCTTGAAACTAAGCAATAGCTGAGAAATTGAAATTTTAGACAATTAATCTAGTTTAATCTAGTAGTCTAAATTCTTAAGCATTAGCAACCTGAGTATGTAAAGAGGAAATTGCGATGAAGCAATAACCTACTCTTACTAAATTTACTTAAAGAAATCAATAAAGTAAATTAATTTTAGAAATACATAAAATAAATTAGAATTCATCACTTAAACCCTTTTTAATTTTAAAAGTAGTATATAATTCAAATTTTCAAAAAGAAAAAATATAATAAAAACTAACCTTAAAAACTTCATCAAGAGCTCGCCGGAAAGACTCGAAGTGCATTGCTAAAAACGCATCAGCAGAGAGATTCCAAATCCTTAGAGAAACACTGTTCTGAAGAGTATCGTTGTCAAAATTCAAGAATTTTACTCTGATTGTTGATGACACATTGTGGTGCTTTCCGTCATTGCCACTCACAGTGAGTGTATAACTACCAGGATTTTGGATTTTTGTTGTATGCAGATCACATTTCCTGGGTATCCTAAATATGGCAGAATTCCCTTCTAATATTTGGCACTGATACTGACCAACAATATCTAGATCCTGTGGATGAACGTCAGCAATTTTACCACCAGGGAAATTTTTATTATGCACCCACACAAAGATAATGAGTGGTCTTGAAGTTGAAGGGCTGTCATTTTTATCAAGAACCATGACTGTAACTGGACTTTGGGAGCTCATGGGAGGTTTCCCACTATCTTGAATTTCGACTATGAATTCAAGTTCAGATATTGACTCTCTGTCAAGGCTTCTAGTAGTTTTAACCAGTCCTGTATGTGATTCTATTTCGAAGAAATCTTTATGTTCACCTCCAACAAGATAAAACATAAATGGGGCCCCATTTGGTGGTAAATCTCGATCAGTCACACTAAGGACCATCACACTTGTATAAGGTGGTTCATTTTCTAATACGTAGCCAATAACTTTAGGTGTTTCAAAAATAGGCCCATTATCATTTACATCATCGATATAAATCTTTACTTGGGTTGATCCTGATTGAGGCGGATTTCCGCTATCAGTTGCAGTAACTGTTAGATTGTACACAGCAATAGTTTCTCTGTCTAGATTTCCAGAAGTATAGATAGCTCCCGATTGAGGATCTATACTAAATACTTTGTTAACATTACCACCAAGTATGGAAAAGGAAAACTGGTTATTACTGGGGTGTACGTCTTTATCTACTGCTGATACCGATACAACAGATGTTCCCAATGGGGCAGCTTCACTCACTCTAGCTTCATAAATTTCTTTTGAGAACACAGGTGGATCATTTCCATCTTGAATACTTATCACAATCTGGGCTTCATCTGTATCGTTACCACGTATACTTCCAGCATTCTTTGCAAGAACTGTGAGAACGACACGTGACTGAGATTCTCTATCTAATGCCCTAGAAACTTTGATACTACCGGTTCTTGTATCAATTTGGAATCCTTTATTATTACTGCTGCCGACTAACAAGAAGTACACTTCTCCATCAACACCACTGTCTTCATCAATCACTTCTAACTGCCCTACTACTGTGCCTACTCTAGCTGATTCACTGACAGTAAACTGAAACACGGGTTGAACAAAATGAGGGTAATATTCATTCTTTCCAACTATGTGAATATCAACAACCGCTGACGTGAATAGGAGTGTTCCAACGTTGCTGGTGATTACTTGAATGACATATTTTGTTTTTTGCTCATAATCAAAAACAACCTTTGAAGTAATAACTCCAGTTTTAGAACTGATTTCGAAAAAACTGTGGTCATCTCCTTCCATGATAGAGTACTCTATAATACTATTCCGCACGGAATCAGCATCAAATGCTATTAACTGCGTTACGTATGTACCTGGAGGTTGATTTTCCATAATGTAGGCATCAAATTTACTGGAGTTAAATATTGGTGGATTATCATTGACATCGGTGACAAGAACTGTCAAGACAGCTGTTGAATTCTTGCTCCTAAAGCCTCTGTCAGAGGCCATGATATCCAGGTGGTAAGTAGTAACACTTTCAAAATCTAAATGCTTTGCGATAGTAATGGCACCAGTGTGAGGGGAAATTTCAAACTGTCCATCATGATTCCCAGATAATATAGAATACAATATTTCGCCATTGAAACCTAAAAGAAAAGAAACGTTTCATTAAGAAGCTATTCCATCTTAAGGAAACGGTAACTAAATCGCATTGTTCCCTTATTTACTGAATTAAAAACTACAAAATAATATAATATCTTGCACTCAAAATAAAGAAAGTTACGTCAAAGCTAATTTTGAAATATCCACAACTACAGTAAAATGTCATCGAAAAATAACGCGGTAAGAACAAATGGTTTTTTTTTTTTTTTTTTTTTTTTTTTTTTTTTTTTTTTTAAGATTAAAGTACGTCGAATAAGAAATCAAATAAAGCACCCGAAATCGAACTTAAAGCGAACAAATGAAAGACATTTTTGAATTTATCTTTCGAAGCGAGAAATGAGACAATTATTACTCTGATTACACTTCCGAAACTGCACAGACAATTTGCTAATATGATGATATCTGCGGCTATCGTATGAAGATGCTAAACAACTAAACGTAAAAATAATTTCAAGATACATAAATTATATTTCGTAAGTACGAATTAAGATAATTGTAAAGGATTTCACCATGGTTCAACTGCAGTCTATTATTAACTAAGACTGCGAGAAGTCAATTGAGATTACTATTCGCAATACCTTCAAGAAGGATTTCATCCGAGCATACCTTACAGAACTGAATAATAATGATTTCTCAGAGAGCCAAATTGTCATCGCATAGTGCCCCACCCACAGAAATTCTACTTAGCATATTATAGCCATCATATGAGCAGAGACCATCAAGAATAGACCGATGACCTTTCTTTTTTTTTTTTTTTTTTTTTTTAATCCTTAAACTAGATTTAGTAATTTTGTTTAAAACTGATCCTCGAATATGGAAAGAAAAAATAGGACAAGTTTTCCACCTACGTTCGCGAAAGAGCTAAGACATACAATCTGGGCGGATGCTGATAGCGTGTCTTAGCACCAGAAGATAAGTTTACATATAAATCAGATAAATCCTAGGTAATTAGATTCTCATAGAGATACAGCAAATCTAAATTTTCTTTTAAGGAAAGCACCAAAGTGGCAGAACTTTTTAAAATACAGTATATGTGATGGAACAAATGTTAATGTACTACATAAAATAGTTTAACACATGTCTGATATGGAAACGTCTAGGATGCTTTACAGCAGTAAAAAGCATTTTATTTTCTCTATCCTTAAATCTTCTAAAACGCAGTTCCAGTTGAAACTGACAGCTGGGCAGCTTTCTAACCAGACATCAGTAGGTTAATTTTATTACTTATTAATGACAACGAATGCATTAATTAGGTATTCCACTAAATATTCTTTGCTGCCATAAATATATTTTAAGTTAATATCCTCTTACTTTTTTCCAAACAATGAGATATACTGCATTCAGAAATTTCTCTACATTACTTTCACCGAATGGCTTTGTTTTTATATTTTATGCTTCCTATTCCAAATTCCAGAATCGAAGAAGGGTAACGATAATAAATTTTTTCCTACTAAATCTTTTAAACTCTACGTGAACCGTGCTTTTAGCCTTAATTTTTGTTATGAAGCTTCCTAACCAATAATTGAAATATTCAATTAACTTTCATTTTAAATGCATACTTTTCGAAAATGATATATTTACCTTTATCCTCGTCGGTTGCAGTAACAGTCACAATTTCTGACAATAAAGGCTCGTTTTCAGGAATTACAACTTGATAACTCAAAGCTGTAAAAGCGGGAGCAAAACGATTTTCCTCTGTTACAGCAAATACAGTTGCCACTTCTGAAGACCTTGGTGGAACTCCTTTGTCAGTAGCTTTGATGTTAATTGCAAACCATTTCAATTTCAGACCAATTAAAGGACTTGAAACTGTGACCCATCCTGAGAAAAAAACATAAATAAATATTAAGATTAATTCGACGGAGGGGTGAAATGTATTTACCGTAAAAAAGGTACAAATTTTGCTTGGCTAGTCATTCATTTAATTTCATATAGCTTCCTTGATGAAACTGTTAATAAATTCTGAGCATATTTCAGTCTACATTATACATTTGTAGTAATGAAAAATTTTAGCAACAAATATATTAAAATACTGTTGGAGCCTAGATACATAAATTAGCAGTTTCTCGTCTTATTCAGACTGAAATGCATTATGCTTGATAATATTTGTGAGCTACATTCATTCAGTGTGAAATCCATGATAATGCAGAAAACCTGAATTTCTGACTACTTTAAAGAAATATATACACTTCTCCAAAAAATATCACATTAAATTACAGTTATATGAAATATTACATCTTATTTTAATTATTTTAAAAGTGAATTTTATATGCTTTAAAACAAGGAAATTTACCTGTCTTTTTATGAACTGAAAAGTATTCTGTTCCATTTCCTCCAGTCTTCTGATATTCAATTTCGGCATTAATTCCAACATCTTCTCTATCTTCTGCAATGACGCGAAGCACTGATAAACCGATTGCAGCACTTTCTGGAATGGGTGAGAAATAGAACTCCTTTTGAAACACAGGCGCATTGTTATTAGAATCGATTACATTGATTAACACAGTAACTTCGCTGCTCAAGGGTGGATTACCATGGTCCGTAGCAACAACTTGTATAACGTGCCTATTTTCAGATGATGAACCTTTTAACGTCCTTTTGTAATAAAGTACTTGTTTACTAAGAATATTACCACTACTGGGATCAATTCGAAACAAGTCTGAAGGCCTTTTTAGAGAATAACTGACAAAAGAATCCGGACCTTTTTTGTCACGATCTGTTGCCGAGACTTGTCCGATGAAAGATACACCTTGTATTAATTCCGGAATATTGAATGTATATTCAGAGAGGCTGAATTCTGGAACATTATCATTAACATCTTGTATAAGAACGGTTAAAGGAGTCTCAGCTTGCCAAGAGCCATCTACAGCCGCAACTTTCAATAAATATTCATCCTTGACTTCGCGGTCAAGCCATCCAGCAACAGTTACGTTGCCAGAAACTGGGTCGATGTGAAATTTTCCGCCAGGATTTTCTGTGAAACTGTAAGTAGCATTGGCATTCATGTTGATATCTTTATCCGAAGATGTGACTTGAATTATGAAGGTCCCGATAGGTGCATTTTCTGTTACATTAGCACTAAACAGTCGAGTAAACCTTGGAGGATTGTCATTTTTATCTAGAACTTTAATATATACTGTTGCAGAGCTTGTTTTCTGAGGTGTACCATGATCAACAGCTTTTATAATAATTCTATACTGGTCCTTTGCTTCTCTGTCAAGCACCTCTGTAGTATGAATTTTACCCGTTTTCGCATCTAAAGAAAATGGGAGATTAACATCGTCATCTGCATCTAATCGATATTCTACATTGCCATTCACACCATAATCAGCATCGAACGCCTGTACATGTATCACAAACAAAGGAGGCTCCAGTTCTTCTTTGACCGTAGCATTATAAATAGGCTTTTCAAAAACAGGAGCGTTGTCATTTACATCAGTCACTAATACTTCGAGTTTTACAGCGCTTGCCAGAGACGGAATATCACTATCTCTGGCCTCCAGCCATAATTCGTAAGCAGATATAGTTTCACGATCTAGACCTCCAATTAGTCTAACCTCACCCATTTCAGGATTAACACTGAAAGCATTTCCAGAATTACCTCCAGCAATGTAATACATCAATTTTCCTGCCTCATTTACTTTCGGTGAGGTGGCAGATACACGGGTCACTAGTAAATTCTCAGATGATTCTGCGAATTTGAAACTTCTTATGCCCGGATGAAAGCGTGGGAATAATTGGTACCGTTGAGTATACACATTAACCATTGTTGTTGAAGATAATGGTATTTGTCCACTGTCAGTAGCATGAATTTCTAATTGATAACCTTCGGATTTATTGACTAGCTTCTGAACTAATTTAACAACACCAGTATCTTGATTTATCTGAAATTTATCGGCATCTGTACCGGACAAATGGTACACTAAACGGCTGTTTAAACCAGCATCTAAATCAACAGCAACAGCTCCAAATACAAAGTGACCTAAAATAAAAGTGTAAAGAGTTATATTTTCAGAAGAAAAATTTTAACGCAACAAAATAGAATAGAAAAATAAAACATTGTTTAATAAAAATAGCGGGAATAATTCCTTATAGTTCTGTGAGTACATCATGAAAGGAAATTTTTGTACATAGAAAAGAAGTTTTACAGATACTCAAATATACGAGGATTTTAAGATATATTTTGTATTAAATGCTCCAACTCACCTCCTACTGCATTATCTGGAGTATATACAGTATAACTGGACTCAGCAAATTCCGGCTTATTATCATTTTCATCTTCAACTGTAATGGTGACATTGGTAACAGCTCTGTGTTGAGTTATAAGACCAGAATCTTCAGCTACGAGAAGCACATTGTATATCTCGCGTTCTTCTCTGTCCAGAATATCACTAGTGCTTATAGTTCCTGTGTCTATGTCAACTTCAAATTTTCCACCGTGATCGCCAAGCAGGGAGTATCTGAAAATAACAATAATAAAGCAAATAAATCACTTGATTTGTTTTCTTTAATTCTCCAGTACTAAATTTTTGAATCATAAATAAAAAAAAATTATAGCATAAGTTTTATGACTCAGATCTCTGGGAAACCCACAGAATGTGCTATAATGCAGACACCAACAAAGGCTATTGCGTTAAATTATTACATTTGTAGCCAACAAATACATGATAGAATTAGATAAACGAAATACAAAAAGGATTATCTTTTTTCGATAGTTATTTTACTGAAGTACGAAGGTGTAGAATGCATTTACGTTAGAAGCAATGGAAAATCACTGTTTAGGAACCAGCATTTCGTCTAGCTACAAAAGGCTGGAGGAGGCCAAAAATTGAATGCTTTTAGCACTTAAGTAAGAAGTTCAGATTTCACCGAATAGAGTTCAATATTGTGATTAAGAATCAAAATGTAGTTTCACTTACCGAATCTGTGCATTCCTTCCAGTATCTTTGTCTGAAGCAGTGATTGTTATGACAGGAGATAAAGGTGGAAGATTTTCCATGATGCTTGTTGAATACTCTTCGAAAGCAAATTGTGGCTGACTATCATTTATATCATCTACTACTACTTTTATAGTTCCAGTACCAGTTTGTCTAGGAGAGCCTACAAAATGAGAAGTGCATATTAATCATGTAATACATTGTATAAAATTTTAAAAAACCAAAAACATCAAGCACTAATACTTATGCAGAATTAAGGAATTTATTTAGATCTGAAAAAGCATTATACGAATTCTTTAGGTTCTTAAATTTAAAAGCAATTTTTGAGAATAAAACGGAAACACACGCAAAAAATTTGAATAATGAAAGAAAATGTTTTGACAGCTATTTTCAAATCTGCATTCGCTTCATTCAAGCATGCATACTTTTTAGATTATACTGTTGCGAGCTCTAGATGGCGCTGTAATACGCTATAACTGTTTTCTTTTAGTTAGTGCTAAAATGTAACTAGAGAATGCTATGTATTGTCAACAGCGTGTAATTGCTCAAAATTACATCGCTCCAATAAAGAATAAATGTTTAAACCGTGGACTGTTATTTTCCCAGAATGAAAAGTCATCAGATCAAGAGCCATTTATGAACTTTCTGTTTTATTTGAACTGATCTGTCGACTAACGTTGTTTTATATACAGACTATTTGAGGGGGGGATGGTTGCATGACCATTTTCTTAAATTCTGACGCTAGATATGTGCTTCTTGTCCCTAAATTTTTCAAAGTAAGGCACAGAAAATCATGAAAACAATTATAGCATGCGAGCTAAGGGAGTTCTGTAAATACAAAAATTAACTTTTTATATGTATAAAAACTAAAAGATGGCTGCAGGATTTACTTGCTTAAATATCAACCTAGATACGTATTTTCAGTCATAAAATTTGTTAAAATAAGGTGCAGTATACTTCGAAAATCGTTTTAGCCCAGTGCTCAGATTGGAGAGTTCTGTTAGTAAAAAAATATAACTTTTTGCTTGGTTGTTGTAGAGCAAAATGCCTAGTTCGAAAAAATTTCATTTTGCTTCAATTAATTAAATATGAAAGTTGCATATGCTTACGCAAATATTTGCGGAAATATTAGCATTTAATAATTTTATAGTACTACTTACAAAATTAATAACGACTGCTCTTTTGTCTAATACGAAATCATTAATCGCCAAAAGCAGCAACTTTACTTTTTGAACATTTCCCTACATCTTATGAAAAATTTTCTCGAAATTACTTAGTAATAGGTACTAGGATTTGATTCAAGTGAGTAAATTCGTTCTCAAATATACCTACGAATTTTTGTTGAAAAATTCTGGATATTTTTGTTAACAATTCCTTTTTAGGAATTTTAGGGAATTTTTCAAATGCCTTAGTTTGAAATTTTCACTTAAATATCATCAATGTCATTCACTACAAATTTTACAAAGCGTCATGCACAGCGGGTTGTCTTCCTTTCACCATGTGATATACTATTAAAATGTTTTTTATTCGCTCTAAATAACTATTCATAATTAACAAATATACCATAAAATTTAATTCCATAAACAGAACAATTAGAAACTTAAATCAGTGAACAGAAGGTGTCTATGTTCATAGGGTACTCCAATAAGAGAGAAATTATTTATATTTTTAAATAACCAATTTTCTATCTTGATATATAAAATCTTGATATTTTTCTCATCGCTAATTTCTTACACCATTAATCGGCAGTATCTGACGCTATTTCTATGAATTCCGTTTAACAAACATATGCAGCATTTATGAAATTCGGTTTTTATAGGAAATTCCATCTTTTTAGAAATTGTTAAACGTAACTACTTTGGTTTAAGCATGAACATCTAATAAAAAAGCATATGTTATGTGCATTAATATACAATAAAAAATTATAACATTTTAAACTCACCTGAATCAATACAAATGACTGTGAGTATATATTCCGACTGTTGTTCTCTGTCCAGAGTTTTTTGGACGCTGAGTTCTCCAGTATTTCCATTAATGGAGAAAACACTTCTATTCCCGTCTTTGATCAGGTACTGTAATTGGTTGTTGGGAATTTGGTCGCTGTCATAGGCCATTACAAGCATTAAAGATACAGGTAGCGACTGAGCATTCTCCATAACATGGACGAAATAGGGCGAATCGTGGAAAGTCGGAGGATTGTCGTTGATATCTGTTACCGCAATGGTGACGGAGGCAGTATCATGTCGAATATCCACACCACTATCTTCAGCCTGAATCGTCAAAGAATAGTGACTCTTCCTTTCATAATCCAAGTTCTTACTTACTCTTATAATTCCTGTATCTTGATCCATGACAAAATCGTGGTTAAGGTCACCTGCTATTATCGAATACCTTAACTGTCCATTCAAACCTTCATCTACATCTGATGCAAAAACTTGCAGTACACTGAGGCCTACGCTAGTATTTTCGGATACTGAAGCACTGTATTGTTGATGTAAAAAAGCTGGGGTATTATCATTTTCATCCATTATATGAATAGTTATCTCTTGAGCTGTGGACTGAGGTGGATGACCACGATCTTTTGCCACGACAGTTACTTTGTACTCAGATTTCTGCTCCCGGTCTAAGGCTCCTGTGGCTCTCAGCAGTCCATCAATTGGCCCTAAAGAAAATTTGCTATTTGAGTCTGAAGAAAGACTGTATTCTATGTAGCTGTTCCTTCCTTCATCCTTGTCAATAGCTTTGATGGCCATTATCACGGTGTTACTTGGAACATTTTCAGTTACAGATGTTTCGTTAGGTGTGACAAATTCCGGGGCCATATCATTCACATCTTTCAAAATAACGCTTACTTGAACTGTGCTGGAAAGTCTTTTTTCAGGTGAAATAGCTCTATCAGTTGCGCTTACAGTTAGACTATAAAAAGACTGTGTTTCCCGATCTAACATTTTTGTAGTGAAAATTGTCCCATCGGTATCTATGGCAAATTTGTTGTCTGTGTTGCCATCAATTATGTTGTAGATTATGCAACCATTGTCACCTGCAATAAGAAAAAAATAACATAATTAGAAGAAACAGTTCACAAATTACATTTACAGTCGAAAAAATTAAATTAAAGTCGAAATACATTGTAATTGAAAAGAACGATAAAGAAGTATAAAACTGATTTAAATGAAAGTAATAAAGAACGGGATTTGAATAAAAAAAAAAAAACAGCGGCAGTATTATTGTTAAATACAATAGCTGTACTACAATACAAAGAATGACTTGGATGTGACCAGTATGGTTTGGTTTGGTTTATTTAATTATGGCAAAGCACACTAGGGCTATCTGCCTAAGGGGAAGGATGCCTTCGTGGAGGACTTTCTAAGGGAAACTGACTCGTATACACGTTACACATGGGGAAAACCATGAAAACACCCATGCAGCCAGCCCGTTCGCGGGATTCGAACCTCGGACCAAACTACCAGTGTTCAGCGAATTTACCGCTCGGCCGCTGGTGGGCGTGACCAGTATGTATTCGCGCATTAGATTGTCAGTATAGTGCATGTCGGACTTACTCTTGCAATCTCTCTCTCTCGTACAATAACTAAACTGGTGTGCAAAACTTAAGGAACAATGTAAAAATTCAGCAGATAGCCATGAAATTGCAGAAAAGGAGGTCTGGAGATTAGTACAATGAACATGTAAGTCAGTAGAAACGTCATGCGTATGCAAATATCAAGAACGAAACTTCACAGGCGACGTGAGCGTACACAAAACGCGTGATGTCGGCAGGCGCAGCTCAACAGTAGAACAAAAGGAAGGACGGAGATGCAATTCAACATACTCCCCGCAAGTGCCAGTGAGTCAGTTCGTGAAATATGGCTAGAAGAAATCACCTGGACGTCTTCACACGTGGAAGAATGATCGGAAAGCTGGAGGAGGGGCGTACTGTCACCAGTATAGATGCAGAGTTCGGAATCAACAAAAGTGTCGTTTCGCGCGCTTGGAAAGCGTTCCAAACCACAGGTACAGCTGTTAGAAAGGTTGGTGGTGGCCACCCGAGGACGACATCTGCAGGGGATTACCGATATATCGTCCTGCAAGCGAAAAGAGGCCGACAGCAGTCAGCAAGCGCCATTGCTCAGCAGCTCTGTACAGCAACGGGACGACAAGTTTCGCGGTTTACTGTGGCCAGACGCCTTCACAAAGGGGGCTATTCGCCCGCCGTCCTGAACGCTGCCTCCCGTTGAAAGTTGGCCACCGACGCCACCGTTTACAGTGGTGCAGAGAGCACAAAGACTGGACAACTGATGAATGGAGTCGTGTCTTCTTTACGGATGAGAGTCTGTTCAGTACCAGAAGCGATTCTCAACGCGTTTTGATTTGGAGAGAGGTCGGGACCCGGTTTTATCTCAGAAACATCAAGGAACGACACCGTAACGGTGGTCCTGGAGTTCTTGTCTGGAGAGGCATTATGCTGAACGGGCGAACTGAGCTCCACGTTTTCGACAGAGGTTCTGTAACCGGGGATCGCTATTGTGAGGAGGTACTCCTTCTCCATGTGCGTCTGTTCCGAGGTGCCATTGGCCCAGACTTAAATTTTATGGATGACAATGCACGGCCACATCGGACTCTGGCTGTTGAGGAACTACTGGAAAGTGAAGATATCACTCGAATGGATTGGCCAGCGTACTCCCCAGATTTAAATCCCATCGAACATGTGTGGGATGCTTTGGGGAGACGCATTGCAGCACTTAAACACCCAACAACTCAAACAGATGCTGATTGAGGAATGGGCACTCCTACCACAAGAAATGTTGCACCAGCTACTATGCGTTCAATAAAGCTTGTTTTTGTTTGATTCCATACCGTATGCATTGTATTCCTTTTTCAGCTCCGATGCTTTCGTCATCCTTTACGTACATCATACTCTTCTTCATTTCTGCATTTCATGTCTCTCAGTTGATTTCTCATGGAGTTATGACAAAAAACCCTGCTGTTGCTTAAGTTTTGCCCACCAATGTAAATATCTCTGCACAAGTCAATGCCAAAGAAATTATTTGGTCCTTCTGCAAAGCCCTAAGTTAGCTATATTCATGAAGTGATTACAGTGTTGTTTGACCAGCAGAAGTTACACGTAATGTCTTCGGAATGAATTCAACAATTAGCACCGCACCATATTATTGGTAAAGTACAAAAATTACTTTCCTTCGTACATTCGTACAAAGCAATACTGAGGATAATCAGTGCGTGGGTCGATCACCAGCTGAAATGATCGTTTAGATTTTAAAGATGTCGACCTACAAGTAACCATACTTTAATTACACAAGCGGGAACGGCCAATAAACTGTTTTTTTTTTATTATTATTTCATATTAACAACATTCAAAAATGGCTTAGACAAGCCTTCATAATGAACGAAACTTAAGTGAATTAACGCATTCCTTCTCTGCCCGATTTGACTCATTTCTCTTGCGGAGACATTAAGTAAAGTTTCAGTAAGGGTTTATGACCGTAAATTGAAATGGTAGTCAAGCGAATTACACCAAGGAACAATATTTTCCGTATCTAGCAGAGAATACTTTTGAATTCGATGCGACAATGTACGTTGTCAAGAATTAGGTGGAAGGGGTGAACAAAGCTTTAACTAATGGGAGTAGGACATGGTTTAATTTATTTAACATGCAAGACATGAGTTTTATGACTGATCTCTTTCCAAAGATTAAAACACTGTAAAGCAAGCTCCGCGATCGCCTACAAGATATTATCAGGAATTAGAGCGATTCGTAAAAAAAGTTAATTCTCCTGACTGTGCATAAAAAAATCTTAAAATCTGAGATAAGGTTACACATATGGGCTAATTTAAGGTCAGTATCGATAATTTACTGTATAATAAATTTATCATTCGTGCTAACATAATATACATATATACCGTTCTTATTTCAAATCTTATAAATAATCTCGCAAGAAATTTTTTAAAAATTAAATTCAAAGCCTTATTATTATTTTACCTATAATAACAGCTGGCATTCAAAATTTTCTACTAGTAACCTAAGTGATTATAATTTTGTTTCATTACGTGAATATTATTTATTAAAACTCATTTGAATGCAATAATTTTATATGAAGTAGAAGAAGATAGAGATTTATTGCATTCTACTCTATGTTATACATAAGAAATGAAATATTCTATTCTTCTAGCATGTGGAATCGATTTACATCTATTTCATGCATACAAAATTTTATAAGAAGTACCAATTTCAACAACTTACCAGAATCCATATCTGTAGCACTCACACGAAGGATACTGGTCCCAACTGTTATATTTTCGAAAACTTCGTCACTGTAGCTCATTGGATCAAATAAAGGAGCATTATCATTCAAGTCCACAACATTAAAATAAACAGTCACCGTGCTGGATAAACTGGGATTGCCGGAATCTTGAGCTTGAACAACGAATATGTAATGCTGCATCTGAAAATACATAGATTGAATTCACTGTAATTAACGAATAGAGGTTCTAAAGCTCAATTTTAGTAACTGGCATTAAAATTGAGAGATATTGTAGAGATCAGAAGATTTTTCGATCCAGGAAACGTGAAAAATCGATTATGCTCTTTTCGGTATTGAACCATGGATCGTTCTTAGCTGGATCTACCACTTACCCATTGACCACAAGCAAGGGACAATTAGATGATTCCTTATATCTTCCCCAAATAAGTGTGACTGGAGAAAGGTATAAAATCCAATCAACTAATTTCAGATAGAGAAGAATTATCATTTGAGTTCAGGTGTCACGGCAAGTACTGTTTAGCTTATTAGAGCAGCATTAAACATCAACTGTGTCTTCGCCAGGTTCTGAAAAACGACTCTTTCAAAGACCTAGATGGACATGCTGACTGCTTAAACCACAAAAGCACGCGGAGGGAGAGCGATAATTCTTTACAATATGACAATTGTTAGTAAGACTAAAACCTAGTTTTTATTCAAAACATCATGGTATGTCTGCTAAAGAAGGCACAGTTTTCAGAGGAAGGTTATATAATACGAGAGACATAACAACCTTTTAAAAAATGTGTTAAAAAATTGAAAGAAAAGTAATTTATCTGTAAGTTAAATGAGAGCAGTTCTGCTAACTCCGATTTGATTATTTTAACGCTAATTTCAATTAGATTTTAGATTAGCTATAATAGGCGCATTGCGAAATAAGCACAAAGAACGATAAAGCCAAATATTACGAATAAAGAAAGGTCAAGCTGTATAATCGTCAAATGTACGATCCATTAAAAATTTTCAAGCAAAGTGATCAAACGATATCATCAGATGTATGATTTATAAAATACCATTTCCAGACTTGCACCTATAAAGTTTCTCAGAATAAGGTCAGAAAGAACTTCATGAAAAGCGCTTCATGGATAGGACAGATCTGAAAATATGAAACTTGATGTTTCGTCCCTTTTGAACAAAAATCCCGATCATGAAACTGTTCACTATATTTAAAATGTTAATTTCAGCAAATAATATATGAAGAAATTAATGATGAAACAAACTTCATTTTATTTGTTTTAATTTTAATTTTTTACGTATAGGCATTTTATATATTGGCAATTTTAATTTTAATTTTAATTTTTTATGTATAGGCATTTTATATATTGACATTTTATAATCTATGTTTTTTGTACCTTCCTTCTATATATTTTTTCCGTCGATCTATTTTTCATGTGAGTTAACTTTTCACATTTCACAACGGTCAGATTAATTAATTTTTTCGTGCATTAGCAAGTCTTCCAGCACTAAATTTGGCAGTTTTATCGCGTGTTTACAGTTTTTTTCCAGTTATTCCAGACAAATTTCTTATTATTTATGTAGTACTGTGTTACAATATTTCGTGGAGCTACAGCTCCTGGTAACTTTTTAGCAAGTTCGCTGCAATGTTCCTACCTACTACTATTCTTTCAAATCTTTTTGCAGCATTATGCGCATGCGCAAAAGTTTTTGAGACCAGATAGGTCTTACGTCTAATTACCAGTTAGCTTTACATTTTCTTTTTAAATTATACATTACAAGATATACAGAAAAAATTATTTAAATATCTATAGCAGTTAGATATTAATAATTATACATACCTGCTCATAATCCAAGTGAGATGTTAATGTGAAGATTCCGCTTTGAGGATTCAGAGAGAAGACATCATTGCCCCAATCGCTTAAAACCAAGTAGCTTATCTGTTTATTGACACCAACATCAGCATCTGTAGCAGACACAAGACCAGCTTGAGCTCCCCTTTGTGTGCCCTCAGGAATATCGAAAGAGTACACAGCATGGTCGAAGATTGGAGAGTTGTCATTGGAGTCGGTTACCTACAATGAACATTAATTTTATATAATGCACAACCTCAAAAATTATAATTTTAATTCGGTTCACTTTAGGTTAATGTTTTAACTAAAATAAAATTTTAACATTACAAGTGTAGCTTCTTCTAAAAATTCGGAAGCCATGTTTGATATAGTTTGAGATTACTTATAATCAAAGTTAACTACTATTCTCATAAATAATATGTTATTAATATTTGTCATGGATTGTCAGTAATCAGTAAATAGTAATATTAGTTTTAAAATTGATAATTAATTTTCAAATGCAAAATGTAATTCGACATTTCTTGATCATTATTTAGTTGAATAGAAGACTACAGAAATTTAACAGGAGGAAAAAATTTATTGAGCTTCAAAATTCAGTTTCGTTTAATTTACTAAAAATGCTAAGTTCTGCTACAATTTGTTTTCATTTTGCATATAAAACAAAAACATGAAATGCAACCAAATTTTCTTTCATCGGAAGCTAAGTGTTTCTAATGAATTTAAACTGAATCTTTATCTGTTGAAAACTGCTCTTTCAAACACCTGTGTTAACTAGAAAATGTGCTTTGTCCTTTTCAGATTCAAAACGCAATTCGTCCAACGTTATATGAACATACAAATACTAAGCTGCTTGAAAGTTTATTTTCGCTGTTTAAGTAAATGTTAATAAAAAACATATATTTAAAAACTAACAAAAAATGTATCAAAGGACAGTACGTAATAACAAAAAGACGTTTGATTATTCTAATATCTACTCGTAACAAAGTCAAATTGAGTTGAATTATGCACATAAATTTTAGACATATAGACTAAAATTTCTTTTCTCTAAATACGAAAAATTTTAATGCTAAAAATAAAAAGTAAGAAAATTAATTAATAGTTAATAACAGTTTTATTTTCATTTAAAGAATTTAATTTGAGCCATTAAACTGAAATTAAATGGTAGCTGATCAATATTTAAATGTCATAAACATATCAATACATAGTGTAATAACTCACCAAGCGCCTTTGTCTTTGCAGTAAAGCATGTATAAGTAAAAAGATTATTATAATAAATAAATAAAATAAAAAATAATAAAAAACTGAATAATACAGAATTAATACATTATACTAGAAATGCATAACAAACACAAGATAATACGCCTTTTTTTATGTATAATACTACTGTTCATAATACAGGAGAATTTTCGCTCCTTCTTGGCAAGTCAACAGTGATAAACAGCGTCAGAAATTCTTATCTGTATCTCTAGCGGGTGTTCGAAAATGCTGAAATGTTACCATTTTTTCGAACATTCTGTATGTCATTTTAATATCAAATAATACATAAATTTTCGAAGAAAGAATAAAAACGAAAAAATTTTCAGTTTTTCTCCAGTTAATATTCGGTTTATTTCGTACCTTCGAACTTGTGAATTTTTTATTTATTATTTTAAAGCAGTATAAAAATTATTTGTGGTTACAAACATATTATGAATATTTAAAATTAATTGATGGGGGTATAAAAATTAACTGCAATGGCAAGTTCCACCTATTATTTGTTCACTAATGCTATTAAACTCCAAACCTAGACGCTTGTAAAGGGCAGAGGGGATGACAACTCGAGTGTTCTATTAAATAAAGAATTTTCTTATCCAAATTAATTCAGCTAGCATAAGGGTTATTGTGTTGGATACTAAAAATAATAAGTTTACATTTAAAGAATTATTATACTGACATTTATGACATCAGCAGTTGCGTATTTTAAATGTTTTACTGTTTGAGAAAAAGTGTGTAACATACGAATATGTATGCTATGTACTGCAGGAAGTTTACTTAATACAACAATAACATTTTTACCATTGCGAATGCCACATAATGACTAAATTTTAGTAGTAGAAATAAACAGCAACGAAGAAGTAAGAAATTGGCATTTTGATTGTGGTTAAGACATATGTTAAATAGGTTGATAGATTCCAGCTTTTTTAAGATTCCGAGATGCTAAAATCCCACGCAATGGCTTTTGCGCAATTGTCAGTTTTTGTAAATAAGTCCAAGTTTATGGTTACAAATACTGAATGATTGTGTGAGGATTACGTTAGCGCAAGTAAGCTTTAATTGTAGCAAATTACTTAGGGACAGACTCTGGATACCACAATTTTAACATTCTCAACTTTTTGTAAGTTACACAAATAAATTTCAGCAGCATTACGATCGCTGCTCAGAACCTGATACTTTCTTTAGAGTGTGGTAACAATTTTTGTACTTTTAGAAATCAAATTTTAGAAAAAAAAAAAAAAAAAAAAAGGTTTAGTTATCTCTTCGAGTTTATATTTAACAGACTAAATATGTCGGAGATTTATTTTTCTAAAAATCATATCGTCTATCGGCTTTCTTGTCTTTGGAACTGGAAACCAGCATGTAGGTTTTGGAAAACAAGTTGACATAAGGCGCGAGAAACTGTCATGTCAACATTCACTTAATCGCTTATTGTATGTCCTAAATATTTGCTAAATATCCTTATTTCTCACTTATGCCGGCAAATGTCCACATTCACTATACATTGATGGTGAATATTGAACAAAAATATTTTTGTTACGTTTTTAAATCATATGCCAAAAATAGGAGATAACTCAAGTAACAGCACATGTAAATAAACTGTTAAACGAACAGCACACTCTAAATGAGAAAAGAAAATAGCAACAATAACAAACTTACTTAACTGTGTGATTGAAACTTTTATAATCTTATTTATTGCAACAACTTAAAATGTTATGACACTCTGAATTGCACAAGAGTCTCTTGCTTCTGCAACGCCTCTCTGCCTGTATTCTCGGCTTCTCCTTTCGACCTCCTCCAGAGGATATCTGTGCTTGTCGATATACACTGGTGATGCTCCGAATGTATAAGAATATATCCAAATATTGTCTTTCACCAAAGTATTTGGTATGTGTTGACATTCACCAGAGAACGTCAACTTTTTCCAATTTTGGTCTTTCACGATAATACGTACCCGACTTTTAAAATACCCCCATACAAAAGTTGGCAGATATCAGCTAAAATATCAAGAAAACAATTTATTCGGTAACCTTTCTTTAACTATGTACATTGACACGCTTAAAGTTTGAGAAAAACAGGATTCCTATTTCTAAAAATATATGGTCACTCTCTGTACAGCGAACATCTTAAAACTTGGAAGAGAATAGTTTATCTCGGAAATTAACCTTTCATTAAACTCAATTACAAACAAATTTATAAGTGTATTGTGGGTAGAAGACGCACAAAAAGGCATCTTGATTAATTGTTACTATCAGAATTTCATTTACAACTCATGTGATGCAAAGAACTGCCTAAGGGACTGAAGAAAGGAATTATTCATTTTCCGGTATGGAATTGCTCAAAGGCAAACTGCAAAACTAATGAGCTGTTCTTAAAATACAATGTGTGGTTTATGGAAAAAGTACCGTTCCTTTAATATACAAATTTAAAAAAAAACTACCCCGAAATAGCTATCTGCATGTTATTACAAGCATTAGTAATAATAATAGAACATTGTCAAACTGCAAAGAAAATGCATAAGCTAATATCGAAATAAACACAAGCTACATATTCAGGGTACAATGTACAGGTTAGTGACCGCACTACAAGAGTCAGGATCCACAGCTGCAGTTATTATGCACCCACCCCTCCGAAAAAGAAATCTTTTCTGAAAGTACATAAGAAGAAAGTTCACAGTGTCGTAAAAATTGACGTCACAAATGTGAGCGTAATGATTAGGAAGCAGTAGCTTTTAGTGACGAATCACGAATTTGTTTAGCAATGAAAAAGGAAGGAAAATCTTTCCGGAGCTGAAAGATAATGAAAAGTTTAATGGTAACTGAACATACAAGAACGAAATGTTAGCATGAAATAGGGAATTTATTTAACTTCAAATGATGTTACCGAATAATGCAATGTCATTTTTAATTCTGATATAAATCTGGAAGTTTCAATGCCAGAAATTTGAATTGTCTGAAGATCTTTATCCATAAAACGCAAACTGTTCCTTTTAAAATAAATGTTATGTTCGTAACGTGTCCTGTTAAAGGACAAAACTGTCAGACACTATATTCAAAGTATTGGTAAAATAGATTCGAAGTTCTGAGTCAACCAGTCTTGAAATTGGGGACAAAATTTTAATAATAGAGTGAGTCATAAATATGGCTACCAGTCTGGCCGCATCGTGTGATATTGGAATTATGGTTATTGGAAGCACGGTAATGCCACTATAAGTATGTGTAACGTGTATACGAGCCAGTTTCCCTTAGAAAGTCCTCGATAGCACGTCCCCCGTTCCTTATCCTTATCCTTAGAAAGTCCTCCACGAAAGCCTCCTTAGGCAGATAGCCCTAGTGTGCTTTGCCGTAATCTCAATAAACCAAACCAAACCAATGCCACTATAAAAATGCTACTATAGAAGGTCAAGACTTTAAACTGATTACGTTCAATTATATTCAGCTGTGGTCGACGTAGGAGCAAATGATCTTATCACTTTCAACTTGCTGGTGGCATTTGCCACCTTCACGTTAAAAGTCTATTTTATTGTTTTACTATTCGCCGCTAGGGTGTATTCTTTCTCTAAAATTGGAGCCGAGCCACATAGTTAGTGCGGTGGAACTGTACCTGCACAACCTATGGTAAAATTCTGGTGTTCCACCCCCTTATAGCTGTACCTCTACTTGTCCGCATGTGTTTTTTGGTTTTGAATGTTATTTGTGCAACGCTGTGGTGGTAGGTTATTTGAGTACGGCAAAGCCACGAGAGCTATCTACTTGAGAGATGGGATGTCTTCGTGGTGGGTTCCTCATGCGTAACGCACGTTACGCAAGAGGAAAACTACAAAAATTAACCATGCTTCCATGGAAAAATCAACCATGGAATCGAACCCAAACCAGTACCAGTATTCAGTGGTCTTAATCACTCAGCAACTGATAAGGCCGATTTGGCAGTAGGAACAACTCAAGTAGGAACTTATTAATATGTTGTAAGGGAATTCTTCTAACACCTATAAAAATATTTTTTATCTTTTTTTCTTCTTTTTTCGCTGCGCAAGTCTCAAAAATTCCAAGGTTGAAATCACGTCTCTCTAGTGACATGGAGTCGGGATTATTATGGTATTTAATCGTCACGTCATAACTGTAATTTGATGCTGCATGTTCAGCGACGTTTCCACCAATTATACAAGCTTCGTCCGTAACTTATTTGAAGCAATTAAAAAAAATTCCAGTTTAACATACCATTCACTAATTCCTCTACAATACACCGGAACACACTACATTTATATACTTCAAATATGTAAATATATTTTTGACTCCCCCTTGTATATTGCAAAACACAAAAATATTTTACGGAGCTTAATATATAAAACACCATTCGAAGCTATAATCGGAAATTCTGAATGAAATTCCTGCGTTATACATTAAGCAAAATAAATAAATAAATAAATAAATAAATATTAATAATTATCATGCTTTGATTTAAGAAACTTCAAATCGAACTAATTACAAAGCATTAATTTCAGTTACAGATCTCTTTATCCAACTCAAAATAATCAATAATTTGATGCTTTGTCTCAAGAATATGGTTCCATTCATTCTGCAAGCGTTAAGATAAACAAACAAAATTCCTTTCCATTCGCTCTCTAATATAATGCGGTATGGTGGAACTGCATTTAATTCTATACAGGTCCTCAGCGACCGAGCGGTAAAGTCGCTGAATACTGCTTATTAGGTCCGGAGTTGGAATCTCGAAGAAAGAGCTGGCTGCATGAGCGTTTTCGTGTTTTTTCCCGTGTGTAGCATGTATACAAGCCAGTTTCCCCTTAAAAAGTCCTCCACGAAGGCATCCCTCCCCTTAGGCAGACAGTCCTCGAGTGTAATGATATCTTCTAGCTGAAATGCATGCTTGACAAGGGAGAGGCAAGCTGTCAATAGTGTCGTTGATCGCTTGTTGTGGCAATACTTTCTTGTAGTAATGCATGTCAGAACTCGTGGAAGATACCTGGCCCACTGCGACCTGCTTTCCGTCATTCCAACATGTCTCACACATGCTCTATGGCATTCAAGTCCGGTGACCTATCAGTCCACCGCAGATGTGGAACGATTTTACTCTCCAGATAACTCCGCACCACTCAAGCTATGTGCGGGCGGGCGTTATCGTCCGTAAATATCGCGTCGATACCCATTATAGTGATAAAAGGAAGCACAAGAGGTCCAGCATGCCCCTTTTTTAACCGTTGTAGTGCGACTGCGGGATTGCGTTTTATGTTAATTTTGGTTGCCTATGTGCATTCGGCGATGCATCCTCTACCTCATATGTAAATTGTATGTTTTTATTCCCCTTTTTAGTTTCGTAATTTTTCTTTTAGCGTTTGCTGCTTATTTTTTGAGCACGAGTATAGCGGTGCACAGTTTGCAATATTGGACTCTATCTAAACGATAAGAACCGTTTTCTACTGTATCATCAAAAATAAATCGGTATGTTTAGTCTTAGTGGTGCTGTAACGTAACCACTATATTTTCTACAACTATTAAAAAAATTCTTTCTTTGTCTTAGTTATTAAAAATATGTTAATCCTGTGAACAAGCAAATGAACTTTTTTTTTTTTTTTTTTTTCCCTTTCCTGGCTGCATTTTTAGGGAGGAGGGAAATCCAAAGGGTTAAAAAAAGTTTCACTCCAAACTACTCTCCATTACTGGCATTTGATTATACAGGACGATTTAAAGCTTTCGAAAATGTCAAATAAATTTAGAGAGATAACAAATGCATCAAATAAATTTTGATTTTATGTCTTCATGTTTTATTCATCAAACGCAAATTAGCTTAAATAAACATTGTTACTGATTTTGACACTATTTTACGCGCCCCATTACGCTTATAACAATATATATGCTCTATAACTGTTTATTAAACTTACCTCAATGGTCAAAATAGTTTCTGAAAATTGAGCTCCATCATCAGCTCTTATTCTAATCTTATGGATATCCTGAGTTTCTCTATCCAAAGGTTGGCTGAGGTAAAGAGCTCCAGTCAACGGATCCAAACGGAATTTGTCATCCTGTTTTTCATCCACAAGGGTATAAGTTAAGCTTCCTTCTGTGTCTGGATCTGATGCAGACACTGTTATTACAGTGTGGCCAGCAATGGCATTTTCGGACAGACTAACTTTGTAAGGATTACTGTCGAAGACTGGAGGGCTGTCGTTAGAATCCGTGACGGTAATTGTAACCTGAAATGCAAATTATAATCAATTTAATAACAGCAGGTGTATCAGCAACATAGTATACATTATACACAGCTTACTTTATGTAAAGAAGATTATAAGTCTATACTAAATTCAACATGACATGCCTAAATCAGTATACTATCAAATGCAATAATATGTCATATTGGCAAGAATGAAAAGATACTTTTTCCATTAAGATGACCTTAGATTATACCCCTCTTTTTTACGCAGTCTAACCTTTGAAAATATATCATAATAACATTTACATTCTGTTAAGAACCTTGTATTAGGAAACTTTTCGAGGATGTGGAATTCGAGGCTTAATTTTGCTTCGTAATGGTCTTTCTTCATTTTAAATTATTTCCCATATCAACAAGATTAAACTTATTTCGAATTTTTACAAATTTTTGCTTAGGTATTTCATTGCATTTAAACAAAGGCAAAATATAAATAATGCAATTTTAAGTTTCCTCTATATCTCATTGAATTGTCAGTTCAAATACAGTATCTTACATACATCGTTTTAATATGTTAATTAAATTGTTAATAAATTTTAGTAAAACAGATAGCATGTTTCCAAAATAAACAAAAGGAAATCACCAAGGTTTACCTAAAGTATAAATATGAATAAATACACGCTCAAGATTGAGAAAATACAAAATGTTACTCTAGTTTAAAACGACACAAATTATAGGACTCGGTGTTTTTTTTTTTTTTTTTCAATCCACTAAATAGTATTTTGTAAAATGTTTTTTTCATAATTCTAATTTAATTAGTTTTATGGCTGAAATTGCTTTTAATTAAGACACAGTTCTTTCATATTTAAGACTAAAATTTATAGCAAAAAATATTGTTTCCAAAATACTATTAAACGCTTCACTTAAATTTTGGCATTGCGATTCCGTGACTTGTGCTGCCACCTGTTGGACAATTTTGCGATGAAAGAAAAAGGCTTAATTTTAAAATCAAGAAAGGACTAAACAAACCATTTATCTGAAATTAAGCAAAAAAGGCCAGACCTTTGCATTTGGGTGATTTCATTTCACTGATATTTCGGAATGAATTAATTTTATTCAAGATCAAAAACACTTAGTCAAATTTTCACGAATGACGAGAGTGAAAATTGAGTGAAAATTGCATTAGTATCTCAAAAACGTCTTAAAAATAAAGGCAATTTTTCGATATCGAAAATAACAAGTTTTTCCTAAATTTTCAGATTTATTACACAAAATTTACATTCTAAGAATTATAAACATATAATTAATTACCTATAATTAACTATAATAATCAGTTCCTAAAACATATTTTATAAGTTTATTTGATTATAAGACAATAAGGTAAAATCTTGAATCAACGTTAATGAACTATTATTCCTTTTCATTACTGCTCTAAAATAAGTTGTACTTTTTAGACTTGTGATAAAGCTCTTCAAAAGACCCCTCTTTCACCATATTAAGGATTCTTTCTTTGAAAATTGAGTTAAAACGCATGTTTAATTTGACTGACGGTAATTTATATGATTGAAATTTAAGACATTCTTTCATGACTATTCCTTCAAAAAGAAAAAAACTTTTTCATAAAAAAATATAATAAATAAATGAAATTAAAAAAAAAAGAAAGAAATACAGCAAAAGTTTTTTTGGGTGGAGAGGGAGCAAATAAGCGAATGTTGAAGCAGAGACTATACGCTTCCTTTATATGGGCAATGTATTTCTTGTAACCAGATATTAACAAAAGACTTCACTTAGAAAAAATATCCGAAGTAAAATAGCAAAGTAAAAATAATATTCAAGTTTACAGGATTCGAATTGCGGCGTAAAGCGGAAATAAAATTCAAAATCTTTGAAACGAGAACTTAGATACAAAAATAACGACACTTCATTAATTATTAAACGTACATTTTAGAATGTATACAGACATTTCGTTAAATCTGAAAGATCTTACAGTATTATTTAAAATGTTTTACAGTAATATTAATAAGGAATTAAAGATTTAAAAAAATGCCGTTGTTTAACTTGTATAATTTATCAAAATAAGATACCTAGAGGTTTTAACACATTCTTTCGAAAGCAGTGACACCTCTCAAAAATTAGCTGCAGCAAAGAAAAAAGGACTTATATATGAAAGCAATAATCAAAATACAATGATGCATTTAACAAGATGCCGAGCACGTTGGATATTACAGAAAGAGCCGTAACATTTGATTTCATTAAATATATTGCATTAAGCATATATCAGGAATGTTATATATATGCACTTCAAATAATTATTTCTGCTACAAGGAAAAAGAAGAAAAAGAGGCGGAGGAGAAATTAATGAAGAAGCAACTCAACAATATGCGACCCTTATCTATCATTAAATATAATTTAATGAGAGATAAATTCATTGTTGTCGTTATTACAAATAATAAACAGAAGTTAATTAACCTGAAAGCTCATGAATGTGTTGCGAAACATAAAATTTCTCATAACTCCAATAATTTATAGAAAGGTATTTACATAAATTGATGCCATTTATTACAAAGCAACGTCCATAACGTATGCCCAAGTTGAATAAAGCTGTGAACTAACGTAAAACATTTCAGCTAAGGTCATTAAAAACCAATATGCAAAGGATGTTAATTGTCATATGCATAGTAGCAATTTAAACTGCTGTACACTTTTTGATTAATTTAAAACGAACCGATTAACGCGTTACGACACATAAAATTTCTCATAATAATTATCATGTTCTCATCTTCAAAATTACTCACAAAAAATCTTTATCAGCCACTGCCACATTAAAAAATTTTAATTATAAATTTTGATAAAAAAAAAGCATTCCCTATTACATTTCAGTACAATATTTTCAGTATTCAGGGCGTATTAATTTTCAGCGAATTTTTCATAATCAGTGCATATTATATTACTGACCTTTTTCATAAGTATTATTGTGCATATTATATTTCAAAGCAAAATTTTACTCATATTTTATTGTCCTCGCACTGATTAAAAGCAAAAAACCATTCAGTCTCTCATTTCACTCCAATTCGCAATGCCTATGCATTAAAAAGTAAACATCAAGACTATTAACAGGACTAAGAATTCTTTTAAAAATAAACACCAGAACAGAGAGGGATATAGTTGTTTATAAATCCTCAGTTCTTCAGTGTTATGCCAGTAGCTCTGTAGCTCTTCAATACTATTGAGCAATATCGAAATAATTCTGAAATGCAGTACATTTAAATGCTCGACATTAAAGATTTGAACATTTAGGAAGAAGGAAACAAAATAAAAAAAGGCTTTTCTTCCGATTTTTCTTTTTTTAACACCCCCCCCCTCCTTCAAATACGCATCTTTTAATTTATTTATTTATTATTCTGTTTGGCTACTCCAAATGAAGTAACTCTTTAACGAAGCTCAAAATGTAACACTAATTTGGACTCTGTTTAAAAATATTATAAAATATGTTAGGCAACACTATCATTACAGATTAATTTTAGTTGGTAAACCAGAATTTTTCCGAATTTCTTGACAGGTCTGATTAAGACTGCATAGGATCTTAAGCACAGTGTTCTTTCAGAGACATTCAGTGCAGACTTTTCTTATTTTCATAGAGAAAAACAGGGTTACGATAACTCATACGATGATTTTGGGGCATCTTAAACCTGGAACTCTAGGCCTGTGCCTAATGGGCCTAGGCGGTAATCGGGTTCTAGTTGTATTGCAGTGTCTAGTCCTCATGAAACGCTGTTGATAACAACGTAAATGTTTCGCAATGGGTTCTGTTTCCATTTACTCTTTCTTCTTGACGTTCTGGACCTACAATATTACAAACATAATAAAGTGATAAAATTAGACTATTTATTACAGAACTATTACTATCTCTGCAGAAATAAATGTAGAGTTTCTCCTACAGAATGGCTATTACAATTGATGAGGAATTTACAACTTTAAGAATATCTGAGCGAAAGATGCTCAAGAATAAAAATAAATGCAGCCTAGAAATTTCGCGGTGCTTTCACATTATAAGAGATTATCGTATTCCCTAGTGCGTACTTTGGTGGTTTAATGCCCAACTGATAACTGGAAAATCCGTGAATCGTGGCAAGGACATGAAAGATTTATGCTGTTTCCTATCTTCGGAAATATCTCTACGGTGGCACCAAAGTTAAAATATGGTGGATGATAACTTGTCACCACATGGATTTGGTCAACTAGATCTCATGTCTCTCCCCATTTCCTATTAAGCGGAGGAGAGTATACAATATTATCCTATTCTCCCGTGCGCGCTCTAGTGGAGTAAGTAGTTAGCATGGCCAACTAACGATTAAAAGATTCGTAATTCGAATCCTGGCGAAGGCACAATTAATTTCGAGAAACCTAATATCTCTGCAACACTATACTACAAACTGCTCTGCAGCATGAATTATCTTTCACTATCAAATTGGGAAATTTCAGTACTTTGGAAGAGCCCTGTTATTTGGAGTGCTCAAATTCGTGTATAAACAGAAAATGCATAAGTGAAAATAGTTAATATACGTTACAAATAGTGAAAATAATTAATATACGTTACTTACTTAATAGCAGTCTAAAGAGACTATTAAGTGACTAACGTATATTTTTTCTATCTATATCCTTTTAGAGAAATAATCGAAGGTTGATGTGGGAAATCACACCAAAATGCTGATAAATTAGCCAAAGCAGTGGTATATATTAACACTGGTGACTTTATTTCTTAAATAAATAAATCTAGAAATTAGTTAAAATAATCCAATATAAATGTTAAACTCATTCAGTTTGAAACACAACACTATACTTAGCTCAATGCTATCTGAACCACATAGAATGATAACGTGTTTACTTTCATTATTTAAGTTTATTACAAGATATTTAGATTTTTCGCTTTCTCTTTTGAAATAGATGAATTCGTACGATTTCGACTGTTGGAATACTGAAACCTGTTTTATCAGAACTAATTGAAAATTTCAGAACTAAGAAATGTTTTAAAACTAACTA